AAAAAAAAAAAAAAATAGAAAGAGAAAACAAAATTAGTGGTGAATGTTAAATCTCCAAACATGTAAAATGAGAGTTATAGCTGAGTTGTGACTCATATACAGGTATATTTTAAAAAACACAAGTCTTAATGGTTTTAGCAAAAACAGAAAATACTACAGCAGTGGTGGCAAATCTGTGGCAAACCTATGACATGTGTGTTGCAGTCGACTGTTTTTTATCACTGAAAGCTCTAAAAGGTTCACCATCATTGCTATAGAGGGCTAGGCATGTGAAAGTAATTTGGATCAAAAACTAGCTATGCTACAATTAACTTAGAATTTCTGATCACAGGATTTGACCTCTGAAACTTAAAATCCTCATCCCTAAATGAAAGCATGGAGGAAGTCAAGAGATGAACAAGTCAGTGATTATAAGCGATTCATGAGTAAGATAAAATAAAGCTGCTAGTGGGGCTGGGGATTTAGCTCAGTGGTTCTGCCGCCTGTTTGGCAAGCACAAGGTCCTGAGTTTGATCCCTGGTACAAAAAAAAAAAAAGCAGGAGATCTGTCTAATGGCTGAACCTACCTAGTCACATCTGGAAGCAAGGGCTTCACTGTTCGTAAAATAAAGCTGCTAGTGCTCTTGGCAGCTTGAAAAACCAAAAACGTTGCTCTGAAGGATTTAAGTATAAAACACTGGATATGCCTTTTAGATAGCACATGAACTCAACCTCTTTATTAATAACAATGAAATGACAAATTAAAATTTTTTTCTGCAAAAAAATTAAAATTTAATTAAAAAAATTTTCATATTGTATCCCTTTTTATCCATACTTGAATGAGGGAAAAAAAGTTTTGGAAGGTATTTCTCTTAAAAATGGAAAAACACACACAAAATGGAAAAACATTAGGGGCCAGGGATGTAGCTCAGTGGTACAGCACTTGCCTAGCAAGACTGAGGCCCCGGGTTCAATTCCCAGTACCAAAAAAAAAAAAGGAATGCCGGGGATTTAGCTCAGTGGTTCTGCCACATGCCTTGCAAGCGCAAGGACCTGAGTTCAATCCCCAGTACCAAAAAAAAAGGAAAAACATTAATTCATGGAAAGATATACCACACCATTATTTCATATAAAGTATGTTTAAATGTACACTAGTTATTAAGTATTATTACATTTTCAAATTAATAAAAATTCTATTATCTATTAGCAAATATTACTCACAGGTCTTTCATTAGGGTCAATGAAAAATATTTTGATGATTATTTCAAATTCACCCCATCCTGTTTCAGTAATTTCATATGGAGGCTTAGTAACAACTGAAGAGAAAGGGGGAAAAAAACCCTGTAAATTACTGATTTATTTTCTTTGATCTTTTTAAACTTTGTATATTATGAATCAAGACCGTACAATACCTCTTAAAGGATTGCCATAACTTTCATGCAATTTAAACTGGATTTTTTTCACATATGCTGACATATCCTAAAACACAGAGAAATTAATTAGTTTTATCATATGAAAACTAGAATAAAAATACACTCAACAGATAGACCCAATTTTATAAAATATATTTTCCTTCAAATTTTATGGAATTAGATTTTAAAAAATCATGAATGATACCTGGGAAGTGGTTTTGCTTTTTTTTTTAAACAAAAGAAGCCTATGCTAAATTCTTTCATAATGCACAATATGTAGAAATATATATATCCCCATTCATTGTTTTATAAACCTGTTTTTATATACCTTAATAAATAATATTGTTTTGATTTTTCTGTAAGGACAATAGATTTCTAGTATTTTTACTGATGTAATTATATAAACCAAAGCAAATCTACAGCCACCTTTAAAAAACACAACTATTTCACATGAACCTAAGAACAACAGATTCAAAGCCACCTAAAACTGTTGGATACAAAACTCCTTATTTCTTAATATTTTGAAGCACAGGAGCATATTTATTAATTATAGCACATAAAAGAGCTTAAACAGATGAAGTGGTTTAAAATTTTTTAATTTGGTACTGGGGATTGAAGTTAGAACCTTGGGCTTGCCAGGTGCAGCACCACTGAGCTACATCCCTGGCCTATAAAGTGGTTTTTAAAAAATACATAATTTAAGGGTTGCCACCGCCTGCCTCACAAGCACAAGGTCCTGAGTTTGATCCCTGGTACCAAACAGACAAACAAAAATATATAATTCAGGGCCACGGATTTAACTTGGTGGCATGGCACCTGCCTCGCAAGCACAAGGTCTTAAGTTCAATCCCTGGTACCACCAAAAAAAAAGAAAAAAAGAAAAAAAATTCATTAGAGAGAAATAGCAAATGCAAAACAGTAAGTCCCACTCAATAGTAACATTAACAACCTTTATGTTTTCAGGATTCTTTTATGTGTTTATATCTACCTACATTTAAATAATAAAATCGGGATTATACTATAATGATAACTTGCTTTTATCATTTGTTATAGTGTAAGAATTTTTTGTGATATAGATTTTCATAAGTATCTGAAGTCTGTTTTGGAAAGATCTCACTCATTTCTTCTACAAATACTTGAGCAACTACCGATACTGCTGTACTAGAGGCAAATTATACAATGGTAAATTGGGTCTTACCCTCAGGCACTTGCAGCTACTGTGAAATAGGGGAAAGAGTGTAAAACCTGCACTCAGTGTAATGTGCTATGAAGGCATCAGGTATAAGTCCACAGGATGGACAACTAACTTAGTCTTTGGAGGTCAAGAAAGTAATGCAAAGAAAATGACAACTGAAATAAGACCTAAAAGGATCAACAGGAATAGACTGAGTAGGAAGGAATGAGTGAAGAGATTTAAGAGGGTTCATTTGACAGAAATCAACGTGAGAGTAGCCTGGTATTTGTAGAACATAGGATATGAGGAAATGCTGAGGTACAGACAAATAAGACTGCAGAGATAGGAGGGGGGAGAACATAACTTTCCTAAAAAAGAAAAAGGAGGATCAGGGATTTAGCTCAGTGGTGCTGCTGCCTGCCTCGCAAGCACAAGGTCCTGAGTTTGATCCCTGGTACCAAAAAAAAGGAATTTTAACTGTATCATAAGGGCTATATGTGGTGACTGAAGGGTTGGTTTCTTTAAGTTTTGCTGAGATATGAGTTACATACCATACAACTTACCTGTGTGTTAAGTATATACAGTGGTACCTCAGTTCATGAATGCTTTTATTTGGGAAAAATGACTGCAGCCATCTTTCCTGCTCAAACACAAATGTGGCCATCTTTTCTAAAATCATGGAACAAATTAAGTTTTTGAACTAAGGTATCACTGTAATTCGATAGTTTTTAGCATATTCTGAGTTGCACAGCCATCATCCACAATCAATTTTAGAACACTAAAAGAATCTTCAGACGTATTAACACTCACTGACTTCCTTCCTACTCCCTTTCCCTGACAACCACTAATCTATTTTCTGTGTCTATGGATTTGCCTATCTGAACATTTTATATAAATGACATTATACAACAAATGCCATTTTATGTTTTCTTCTTTCACTTAGCACAATGCTTTTATTTTCATCTATGTGCTAGCATCTATCAGTACTTCATTTCTTTGTTGCCTAATAATATTCCATTACATGAATATACAACATTTTATTCATCCATTTATCAGCTGACAGACATTTTGGTTATTTCCATTTTTTGGCTATTATGAATAATGCTGGGATTTTCATACACAAGCTGAATAATTTATTAATTCAATAAATATCTGTTGAACATCTATCTACTGGCTGTTTTCAAGGCACCAGAGATTCAACCATAAAACAAAATCACCAGTAACCAGGGTATATAGCAGATCTGCTTCTATATTCTCTGGTCTACTACCACATTATTACTTTATTATTTGTTGCTATTCCTGAAACACCCCTGGTTACTATGTTAACTTAAGACATGATGTTTGGAAGGTATACTTGTACTATATTTATAGAAGTATAATTCTTGTTACTTAATTTTAATTAGGAAATATTTTTTGAAAATCGATTTCTACTAATTACACAAAGATGACAATTCACTTTATTCTTCTAACTTTTTTTGGGTGGGGCTACATTTCCATAATGGGCTAATTTTATCAGAAAGTTATTATAAAAGAAGTTTAGAATTTATCTTCAAGCAGAACAAACTGTAGCTTCAAAAAACGTTACAGGAAAGCACAGCATGGTGGCGCAGGCCTGTAATTCTAGCAGTCTGGAGGCTAAGGCAAGAGGATCACCACGAGTTTGAGGTCAGCCTGGACTACATAGTGAGTTCAAGGCCAGCCTGAACAACATAGTGAGACCCTGTCTCAAAAAACAAAAAACAATGTTACAGGAAAAACAAGTACCTACCTCATTTCTATATGGTTTTACATATACTGTCCACTGGTGGGTGTGCCCATCTTCTTCTCTTTTCTTTCCAAAATATCGAGCGACATTACCATAAACTATTGGTTTAACGATAGTAACCCCCTGAAAGAAAAATACTTTAAAAACCAATGAATATTGTACCATTAGCTAAATAGAGCCCTGAAACTTGTTTTAAGAAATAGCAGTCTCACAACCTAGAGTTCAGTTAAAACATGAATTTTTTTTTTTTTGGTACCAGAGATCGAACTCAGGTCTTTGCACTTGCGTAGCAGGCGGCGAAACCACTGAGCTAAATCCCCAGCCCAAAACGTGAATTTTTCTCAGATCAATTTGCAACATTCTCATATTAACACAAATAATTGAACACCAGATTAATCACAAGATTCCTTCCTTGACAATGTTTGTTTTATTTATTTATTTATTTATTGGTACGGGGATTGAACTCTGGACCTTGCGCTTGTGCGGCAGGCGCTGGAACCACTGAGCTAAATCCCCGGCCCGATGACAATGTTTTTATTTAAATTACCACATAAAGCATTTGAGAGTTTTGCTTCAGGAAATGCAAAAGGTCTTTTATTTATGAACTTAAAAGCTAGGTATTTGAACAAAAATGAGATTCTACTACTTATGCATTTACTTGAATCCATATTAGAAAAAAAAAACTATAATTAGAAATTCAAACCCATAATTTCTTGCTTAGGACGCGGCTTTTAAAAGTTGAAATGATTTAAATATAAATGTTACAATGCATATTACAATTGGATTCAGATATGACAAAAATGGTAAAGTGGTACTTGGATGACTGAAACTTGGTAAATACTAGCTAGTGGCATGTTTGCTACATTTGTGCTCAGTTCTTCAATGTACATTCATGTTTCTAATTACATCTGATTAGCATAAAGGCAACTAGTGCTGATAGGATTATGGAAAGGAATGGAGAGACTAAACATTTCAAGTGAAGAGAAAAAAGTGTTGTACATGAACCTGAGACCAATTACCCAAGAGCAAAAATGTATTTGAAGAGCAAAAATGTATTTGAAGGACAAAAAGCAAGATATACCATATATGAAAAGTGCTGTTCCCTTCTGGCTAGAAGTACCATGTTTCAGCAATTTGCCAAAAACGACAAACATAAAGGAAAAGAGGAGAGGAGCCAGGTATATGTTTTCTAGGTCTTTTAGAAAACATGGGGTTATTCGTTTGGCCATGTTTATGTGAATCTACAAAAAGGGTGATATTGTAGACATCAAGGGAATGGGTACTATTAAAAAAGGAATGCCACACAAATGTAACCATGCCAAAACTAGAAAAGTCTACAATGTTATTCAGCATGCGTTGGTACTGTAACAAGTAAGCTAAGGGCAAGATACCTGCCAAGAGAATTAATATGTGTACTGAGCATACTAAACACTCTAAAGAGTTGAGATAGCTTCCTGAAACATGTCAAGGAAAATGATCAGAAAAATAAGGAAGCCAAAGAGAAGGAACCTGAGTTCAATGGAAGCGCCAGCCTGCCTCATCTGGAGAAGCACACTTGTAAGAACCACTTGGAAGGAGTATGAATTGCCAGAACCTATTCTCTATGAATTCATGGCATAGGCTGGGGATGTAGCTCTGCCATTCAGTACCTATTAAGTGGCTAAGTGATCTAGGCCCTGCTTAAAAGTAAAAATGCATACTTACTGAATTGTAAGGATGATTTTCACTTTTTTTTTTTTTTTTGGTACCAGGGATTGAACTCGGGTCCTTGAGCTTGCACAGCAGGCGGCGAAACCACTGAGCTAAATCCCCGGCCCAAGGATGATTTTCTTAATTGAACACATTTGTGGTGCCCTTGCCTCAGAAAAACAAATACTTGGAGCGGATTCTCACTGTACCTCATTAGTTATGTCAGGTCTTTTACTTTTCAGTGTATTCTTGCTAAAGGATGTGAGGTATTGTGCAGGTGTATACCCAAACGACCAAACAGTTAATGAAATATTTATAATGGCTTGAAGATTCTCTACATCACCATGGGAAAAAGATGTATCAAAATAAATGGAAGCCAGTGTATGGTATTTCGGGTAAATACATTGTTGAAAGCACCCTTAAACAAAAAGTGCTGTGCCAATGTAATCAACACTCACTAATAAGAAATAAGGAAAAGCAGTGAAAATAACAGAAAAATTTTAAATTGTGGCTGGGCAGTTAACTAAATGTCATACCTATAAATCTAACAGTTTAGAAGAAGGCAGTTTGTATGAGAACTTAACATTAAGGGCAACCGATGATCCTTTTGTGGCAACCACAGGGGCCTCAGGTTTAAACCCTGAGTACAAAGGGCACTGACTCAGCAAGTGTACAATAGACCTCATAGCTGCTACATAGTTGCTAGACACTTGCAGAATTCATGAGTGATGAAAAGCAACTCATTCCTTCTGAAGAGTAGAAGGTAAATAAATCCCCACTTTTGAAACTTACATGGTTATTTTTGGTGGAAAATCATTTGAGGACTGCAGGCTTAAGTTTCTTAAGTCACCCTGGACTGAAACTTAGTTTTAGAACCTAACATGATGCAAGTAAAATTCTGTAACTTCTTCCCCAAAATCTAATGTTTTACTCTTTTGTTTTTGAGATAGGGTCTCACTACATAGCTGGCCTCGAATTCTTGATAATCTTTTTGACTCAGCCTCCTTTATGCTGGAATTACAGGCATGTGCCAACACACCCGGCGACTCTTTATTTCTATACAGTAGTAGTTTCCTATCAGTCTAAAATCTTGCCTAAAAGCTTGGACAAATTAGATCCACGGTACCAAAAAAAAAGCTTGGACAAAATGAATTTTTGTCTAGCATTGCTTTCTCAGCCTAATAAATTTCAACAGCTTTTGGAAAAGTTTTTATTTTATATATGATAGTAAAACACTGAGTGATAACTTATACACATTATAATAAAAATGTAAAAATGATACAGATAAGCACTCTAAAAATCGACTTAACGATTAAGTACTGGTACAAAAGTTCGTGTTTTCAGAGAAAAATTTCCTTTCTGCAATAAATTAAAAATCAGAAGGGAAAAAAAAAATCAGAAGGGAAAAAAAAATCAGAAGGGGTAAAAAGAGGTGTTGCATCAGGTACCTATTAGTCCTGCCTTAAATATAGTATAACATGCCAGGGGAGGTAGAAAAGTGTGAGGCAAACACGTGTCACAAATATTACATTAGAATCAACAATAACTTTTATTAAAACAAAATAAACTGACATTCACTAAATGTTCCCTATATGCCAGGCACTGTAATATGTTCTCTGCGTCTCTTACTATCTTGGCCACAACTTTAGGGCTTTGTGAATTGCCATAACTCGGTCATTCTACCCCCGGTACCTCAGATACCGTATACGTAAATACTATGGAGAACTTTCCAGTCCGGCATTTGTAAATTCTCTGGGCAAGAGCTCATGGACCATTTGCTACTGTTATTAGCCTCACAACCAGGTGGGTGGGATCTCGTTTACCGACGACCTGGGCTGGGCGCTCAAGTGCAGCAAACTAGGATTTCACAGTCCTCGGGAGTGGCCCGTTTCCTTGGCAGCCACGCGTTTCCCCAAGCTAGCCTCGGTTTATCTGTCAGTTTTTTGGCAGGCATGGGAGGGCGGCGATGACGCGAGAAACTGGGGCCCAATAAACCACGAGTTTCCGCTCAGCGGCTCTGACTCGCTCACCGCCAGATACCACGGTTCCAGCCCAAACTGAGAAGGCGCGAAAGGGAACAGAGCGGTCCTCCCAAAGCCGGGCAGGGAGGATTCGGGGTGGGAGGGCCCCCAGGAAGGGAGGCGCGGCCGGGCACTGACCTTCACTCTCCCGCCGGAGTCAGGCCCAAATTCGGCCATTCTCTTGAACATATTGTCCCACGGAAGAAGCCGCCGCCGCCAGGGAAAGAGACCGGGTCGGCGGGGTCGCCGCTCCCTTCAGAGGTTCCGCTCCTCCCGCGCGGCCCAGGTGGTGGGTTTCTGGTCAAAAGAGGGCAAGTCACCGGGGTTCTCGTGGCTGAGTAACGGCCAACTTCCCCTGGCTAGCGGCGATACTGCAGGCCATTCGGGCGCGGGAGGGTGCGGAGCGGAAGGAGGGGGGCAACAGTGAAGCCAGGCGCAGGCGTAACCAGTTTGCGCGCACCCCGCGCACACTGCGCACGCGCCTCGTTGCTGCCATAGCAACAGGGAGGGACCCGTGTAAGCGTAAGCGTTCTTGGGAGAACTTGGACAAAGGAAGGAAACAATCAATAAAGGATTATAAAGAATTCTCCGGAATTTAAGGCTATGAGTTTCCACACTGAAAGATTCTACCAGGCAGCCAGCCCAAAGGTGAAAACAGATCCACTTCAAGGCTATCTTTGTGAATTTAGAGAATACGAGGATAAAGAGATCTCGCCCTGGAATCAGAATTGCTTCAGATTGCTCAGTAGCAACATTGGAATTTAGGGAGCAGATAAAGTACTACTCAACATTCTGAAGGAGAATTACTTACAGTTTAGTCCTTAATACTAAGCCAGAGTCAACCAAGTATTTGCATCGAATTTAAGTTTCAGACATGCTAAATCTAAAAATATTTCATGCACCCTTTCTCAAAGAATGTCCTGGAGATGTTATTCACCAAGATGAGGGAATGAACTAAGAAAAAGGAAATTATGAAGTCGGGAAACACAACAAATATGAAACACAGAAAATAAGATGACTGCCAAAATAAAGAGCCAAGACGACAGTTATGTATGGAGAGTATAGGGAGCAACCTGTCTGGATTAAGTTCAGCTAAAAGTCCTTGGGAGATGCAGCTTCGAAGAATGGAACTGACAAAATTCCTGTTGTGTCTGAAGCCTCATGAGAAGATTTAAGTATTAGGCCTGGAGTTGGGGAGTTGAAGTAATTACAGATACTGAGAAAACTAAGCAGATTTAAGGGTCTTGATGTTTGTTCTAGGGAAAACAAAATCTGTACAAGAAAAGAAAGTAATTGTATCTAGTGTTACATAAACAAAGTGTCGCTTTAACATAAAAATATATAGTTACATTTGGAAGGAAAGACTTTGGAAAGGCATGCTATGGGTGATGAGGCTGAAGAGGAAATAAAGCTTTAACTTTGTGCTAGGAAATCAATATCCTAAAGTGGAAAATCAAGAAGGAACACTATAAAAGCATTTAAGTATTTAAAAGCATGGAAGTAACTAAAACTATTAAGCTAAAAGTAGAAAGTTACTACTGATTAGTATTTTTTTTCAAATTTTATTTTATTGGTACATTTTAGGTATACAGTATAATGACATTCATCATTGGAAATTTGCACCTTTACATAATCTCTCTTATTTCTTATTTTTCCCCGTTCCCCTGCCCTCCCTTCAACCCCTCCATCCCTCTCTATTTACAAAGACTTTGTTTCCATTTTTTCATTTTCTCATATGAATTCCATTCCCTTCTTTCCTTTCCCCTACCCCTCCCACTTCCCCTTCCCCTTTGCCCCTTTTCTTACTATTTCACATCTATTACACCTTTTACTCCTTATTTACACTTTCAGTTTCTCACACTAGAGAAACTATTCCGTATTT